TGAGTGCCCTAGCATTTAAATTTTAAAGCGCTAGAAAATGAAATGTAAAAGTTGAAATCAGTGCTTACTCCTTTTGGCCATTTGAAGATCTCTTCGAATGCTTTCCCACCATCTTTCGAGTATTCCAAAGTCCTGGAATAAAATACAAATAATTATAAGGTTTGGGTAATTTTTCCCATGGTATACAAATTAGTTCAAACGTATGTTCCACACCATGACTTAAAGACGTGCTTGCCTTATTTCTGCAAAAAATCCTCAGTTCTTGAATGCCAATACCAGCGAACAAGTTTTATAAATTAAAGAAAGTTTAGTTAGCAGTTTCGCTTATGGAACTTCGGCGTGTTCATACACTCAATATGAGCATACAAGCCAAACCTAAGTGCTTTGTAGGGTACGCTTGCAACACGAATGACCACGTCCGGGCGACTGCATATGCTGGCCGGGAAAATAAATCCATCGAAGTGATCTGGATTGATATTTTGCACATTCTTCGATTTGAAACAATAAAATCCTGAAAATACTATGATTAATCTGTACTGTTACAAGTCATTTCAAATACGCCAAAACCTTCAGAACATCCAGAGTGGGTATTTCATGTTAGTGATGTTGAAAAGAAAACCTCCTGAATATGTTTTCGTTATTATTTCATGTATCTCCTTTATGTCCCCGTCCCTCATCTCTACTGTGCTGTTTTAAACGACCTGATTTGACTGGCAAAGGTAAATGATGAAGAAATGCATCATTGTTGTGATCGACGATGACGAGCGGTTTCAGCTGCGTCATGGGGGGCGCAGCTTGGCTTGGTTTTGATAGGGGTTTCGCTAGAGGGGCCATTCGATGAGCTAGCTAAGTGTTTTCCGTTTTGGGACTACGATCGGGGTAGCATTACCTTCATGATGCGCCCATCGACGCACAATTTTTCTGACAACTTTCTGCTTTCAACGTTATCCGGCGTTGCATATTCTCGGCACCATTTCTCGATGTCATCCAAATATCGCTATTCACGACGTTACCCCGACGCTATTTTCGGCATTATCCTAATGCTGGATACTACTCTCGACGTTATCTCGACGTGACGTTTTCTGATATTATCTCGATGTCGTCTTCTAACGCTACCTGTCGACCTTACATTTCGACGATGCCCCTTAACGCTACGTATCGATGCTTCTCTCAATACCTAGGGTATCGATCGACGTCTTTGAATCTATTTTGCGGCGAAGATCGTGGACATTCATGGACAATTCGCACGACTTGATAACTAGGACGAATCATTCTCAGCGAGCTTTTGTTTTGCTCAAAGGAGAGATGTTGCTTAGGCGCTTTTCGTGGCCGGGCGCAGTTGTACTATTTGTGCATCACACATATCAAAAATGGTAAGTAGGAATTACCAGTATTAAAGGGTCTGAAGACCAGTGCGTATTCGGAATCAGATCCATGCATCGCGAATTGTTCACCATTGCCTGCAACGATTGCTTCCTGTACAACAGAAGAAAATAATTTTCTCTTATCAAGTGTACTGGAAAAGGTTTGCTTTAGCCCGTTCTACGCCATATACACTCAGAAGATTTTCATTATT